AGTAAACAAGGCAACACATTAATGGTAAGTGCTCAAGAAAATTCAATCGCACTGTATCGGAGAGTCAATAGAGAAACTACTCTATTTATCAATTATTAAAACTGGAAGTGGCCCTGGAGTACAATTTCCTCATCTTAAATGTGAGGAAATTTAGGTATGAAGAAGGGAAGGGGCTTGCTGAGTGTCATACATGGATAAAACCTGCACCAGCACCAAGGCCTCCTGATTCCCACTCCTGCATTCTTCCCACTATTAATTACTATGCAGTTCACAAGACCTACAAGACCAGGAGACCACGGTGCTCATTTACGCACCATGGGAAACAGCTAAACCAAATAGCTCCTTCAGTTGCAGTTAGTAGAAGCCACAGTTCCAGCGAGCAAAAATAAAGTAAATTGTAAGCTTTAGCCTCTTAATTGGACCTGGCAGCTCCATGGACTTCCAATATACAAATTGATGTAATCCCAGAGCTCCACGACAATGTTCCTAAATGCCCAGACAATGCTTTACACATTTGCTAAAAAAATTATAATCAATTCAAGATAAAAGCACAGCACTAAGCTCTTTTAAAGGAATCTAGTTTCTGGAGAGCCCTTCAGAGTTTTATAGCAGGGCGAGGACAGAGGTTTAGTAGAGGAAGGATTTGAAGCAGCTATGCTAAAGCATCATCAGCAATTTGGGGCTTTCCTGAAGCTTCTATAGTGGCCCTAGAGCAAAACTGGAAACTGCCCATCACTGTCCCATTTTTCCCCTCAAACCGTTATGCCTCCTTGAAATATTTGCATTTTTCCCATTACCTTTGTTGATTTGTTTTAGAGGTTGTTATTGTTGATGTTATCATTACTTTCATTATAAAACAGCACTTACGTGAGAAACACTGGGCAATACTGGAGATTAGAAAGCCGGAGGGAAAATTACCCAGAGTGCACCACCTAACAATACCAGTGTTAACATTTCCACCAGTTTTCTTTCTGTTTGTTTCCTATGAATAGGGTTGCTAAGTTGTTGATGATGTTCACACAGTTATATATACAACTGTACATCTTGTCCTTTAAATTTTTTTTTACTTTATATAAGTAGTCTTTAAGCTATTACAAAGTTTTATAAATAATGGCTGCGCAATTACTCACTTAGTGAGTAATTCCCTTCCTTTTAGGTTTTTAATTCCCTTCCTGTTAGGTTTTTAAAATAATTTCAACTTCTATGTTAGATTCAAGGGTTACACATGCAGTTTTGTCACCTAGGTATATTGTGTGATGCTGAGGTTTTGGGTACAAATGATCCCGTCACCCAGATAGTGAGCATAGTACCAAATAGGTAACTTTTTAACCCTCACCCACTTCCCACTGGTTAGATTTTTATATTTTAGTATTGGAGGGGGGTGATGTTATTGTAAAATTTTCCTCATTTGAAAAAATGCTATTATGAGCATTTTCATGCTTAAAGTAACTCATGTGGTGCATCTCATCGTTTTGCATTTGGAAAGGAATCATTATACTCTGCTTTGAGGTGTTTCATGGTAAGGGACATTACCTAATTAGATGAAATCACTTTCTGATGAAGAAATGCCAGGCATTAGCAACAGGTGCAGGGAGTGTTAGGGGGAGGAGAGAAAGACAGTTTTTGCACAGGAGTTGGCAGGACCTCACGGTGCCCTTGAAACCGTGCCAAGTAGATATGCTACAGCTTTATATTTTTTGCCAGCCAGCTCTGGCTGCCTGTGAGGCTGTTCATATGTAGATATGAACTTGGTGCCTCGGGCTGGCTAAGAGTTGTGGAGGAATCAGATGATCAGATGGAAGAAGTTGGCGGGCGGGCGGGCAGCCAGGGGAGGAGGAGGTCAGACTTATCTAATGGGCGCTCTTGGGCACAGCTCCCCCTCTGTCAAGAGTATCAGATCCAAGTGCTCTGCAAAGCAGTGTCAGAAGTCAGTATTCACAGTTACCAGAAGGCTCATTTGGCAAGTATTAAGGGCAGGTATCAGACTCTGGGGTAAGGGGGTTTCTTCACAGGGAAGCTTCCTGGAAAGCAATGTGGAATGAAGAGGCAAGAGTGAATCCTCATGTTGCATAAGGGAATCCTCGGTCCCACCATTCCTTTGTTTTTATTATAACAGGAAAAGTATGTGCTGATCTGAGGGAGGTCTGAGTCACTTTCCCTAGTGAGCCTCAGGGTCAGTTCTTCTAGTTAGGGCAAAACTCCATGAAGATGACTTTAAGAAAAAAAAAAGATTCATTTACATAATAATGTATGTGCATGTATACAGTTGATACAGTCTGTTACCAAACAACATGCCATCAAAATTGATGTTTAAAATTACTTCTGTACTCCTTTCCTCCCAAATTTAAATAATAATTCACTAATACCTCCAGAACTTTTTTTTTGAGATGGAGTCTCACAGTGACACCCAGGCTGGAGTGCAATGGCATGATCTCGGCTCACTGCAACCTCTACTTCCAGGTTTGCGCAGTTCTCCTGCCTCAGCCTCCCAAGTAGCTGGGACTACAGGCATGCCCCACCGCACCCGGCTAATTTTTTGTAATTTTAGTAGAGACAGGCTTTCACCATGTTGGCCAGATTGGTCTGGAACTCCTGACCTCAAGTGATCCACCCCACTTGGCCTCCCAAAATGCTGGGATTACAAGCTCGAGCCACTGCACCTGGCCCGGAACTTATTTTTTAGACAATCACTTAGCTCTCTCTGCTTAAGGCACTATCCTAGGTGCTTTAATATTATCTCATTTAATCTTCACAACAAGCTATGAAGTAGGTACTGTCATTATCCCCATTTGACAGATGAAGAAATTGAGACAAAGAGGTGAAGTAACTTGCTCCTGGTCACACAGCTGGTGAGAAGCTGCAGAGCCCATGCCCTAAATGAGGCTCTGCTACCTTGGAGAATGGAGCAGAGACACAGAGGTGCACAAATGGAAGCTCTGAAATGACAACAGGAGAATTCTTCAGGGGTCCTGTCCTCACTCTCTGGATGCCATTGGGAAACCATCAGGGAATAATAACTGTGTCTTTTCCATAACGTGGGGAAGCTCACAGGGACAATCTAGCTCACACAGTTTATACAAGAAGGAGGTTCAGTTAATCTCCAAATATTAATCATGTAAAAATAGACATAAATGAAAGTGATCATTTCTGGTGAATGCAAGTGAGAACTTTGAAAATACAGATGGAGTTACAAAGAGTGGTTACGAAATGTCCCCTGCGTATGTAGCAGTTCATGCTGGAAAGAAGCCAACACAGCTATCACTGTGGAGCCGAAGGAAAGTGAGGACAGGAGGAGCTCCTTCTGCCCCTCTGGGAAGCATTGCGGAGGGCGGGGAGGCCACGTCCACCCAGGGATTGGTCAGCAGGGGCACAGGCCCCACTGGAAATGGCGAGGACCCAGAAAGGAGAGAGACTGGGAAAGTAAGGACAGGGAGTTGGATGGTGACTCAGCAGCAGGCACTTGGGAGGGAAGCCAGGCAGACAATTAGCATCAAGAAGGCTTAGCAGGCCTTAGGCAGCGTTCTAGGGAACTAGGCAGAGAAAATATCTGAGAGCTCCCGGGAAGGGGGCCAAGACTCAGGCATGAAAGGCCAGATAGGGACTTGCTGCTGGAGTGGGAGAATACAGTGAGGGGAATAAGATGAGAGAAGATTCCAGAAGCAGGGGTACAAGATCAGAGAAGAATCAAAAACCTAACCAGAATGCATGCTGAGATTCTGTGCTGCCTACTCAGCTCCCAGCATCTTCTGAGCAGGAATAACGTTGGTCTTAGAATCTCACCCTACAGCTTCCCTGGAGGAGAGGATGAGAAGGGACTGTTGCAGGAGCAGCTCTGCCTGACCCCTCAAACCATTTCCCCAGCACCCTCCCTTGTTGACCATTCTTTGGAATTCACTTCTTGCCGGCGTAGGGACCTGGTATAGTAAATCTTTTTGATCAAGCCATTGAGGTGAAGTGAACCAGGATATTCATCCTGTATTTGAACCATAATGGCTTTTGGGCTGCATGTAAAGCTTGAGCCCGGTTATCTATAACGTGTGAGCGTGGAAGAAATTGCCCATTGATCTTGTTTCCGCTTCTTCCTTTGTCTGGACTAGGCAGCCTACAGAAGGCAAATACCGCCATCTAGTGGCGTATCCAGGCTTCTCGCCAGGAACTGTATCTTGAATTGTAGAGACGCAAGCTTGGCTTTTTACCCTCTTCTGTCCAGCCCATGGGTCTGACTGTAACCCGCCCCAGGGGGCAGTGGGTCTTGCATCTGGGTGCCATGCTGGGCCGTTTGCGACTAGAGTTTCAGGCCTCTTCTGCTCTAACAGTCTGCAAAAGGACTACACTCATCCCTGGACTCAACCATGTTGCCCTAAAAGAATGAAGCCTCATTCTTTTTGTAGTCCTCGTAGCCTCAATTTTAGGCTGATGGCTCCAGTAAGAGGTGGGGATGGGAGGTGTTGCAGGGGTTAGAAGGAAGGAAGGTTGTCTCTTCCATTATCCCCTATCATCTAGTGAGAATCTAGTGGGAGGGATGAGTTAGAATAGATGCCCATACAATAGGAGTCTGAGGGTCGTAGTCAGGGCAGGGACAGAGCACAGGGTAAAGCCCTTGGAAGGAGTAAAGGGGCATACAGGGAAGGGGTTTAATGGCACAATTAGCTGAAGCTTGGCAAAGGAATAATGAGCTCTAACGAAGCAAGAGGAATTAGAATCAAAGCCCTGGTTCTGGGCAGGCTTCAGACTGTGGCTACAGCTAGAAAGCCTGAGTGATTGAATATAGCACTGTGCTAATTACATTTTTTTCTTGTTTTCTTTCCTGTTCTCAACTCTCCTTTTCATCTTCTGCCGTCTCTCCGCCCTAAACACCATTTTTCCCCTTTTTCCCCCTTCTCTTCCTCCTTACCTCTGGTCTCACACATTCTTTGTCCCCTCTCACCAACCCTCTCGTATTTCTCCCCCTTCCTCCTCCTGCCCTCCTGTTCTACTCCCTCCACCACCACCCACCAAAGCTCTCTGGCGGATGTGAGCTGACAGTAGTCCTCCAGGACTTCAGTGCGGGCCACAGCAGCGAGCTGACCATCCAGGTGGGGCAGACGGTGGAGCTGCTGGAGCGGCCCAGCGAGCGGCCTGGTTGGTGTCTGGTCCGCACCACAGAACGGAGCCCGCCCCTGGAGGGCCTGGTCCCCAGCAGCGCCCTGTGCATCTCACACTCCCGAAGCAGCGTGGAGATGGACTGCTTCTTCCCCTTGGTGAAAGGTAGGAGAACAGAGTGGGTGGGAGGCACAGACCAAGGAGGCCACGAGCGCTGGCCTGACTCTAGCTGAAGACCACCATGGAAGTGACCTGTCTCGTGGACCCATTTTGACCCTGTGGGGTTTCTTTGGGACCTGATTGTGAAGTGAATGGGTTGGGAACTTGGAGAGGAAGAGCTACCAAGTAACTGTGTGTGACTTTGGGAAGGTCATTTAGCCTTCGTGAGTCAGTTTCATCTTAGAAATGAAGGTTGAATTAAGTAATGTCTAAGATCTCTTCCGGTTTTCTCATCGTATCACACTACATTCGGAAAAGTCCTCTTCTACCTTTGGCCAAATATGGCTTAGACTCATCCTTTCTCCACTGACCCACTCCCCTCCACAGCAACTTCTGGCTCTCTGACCCCTCACCAAGTACTCTCATGCTGACCTGGAGACACCAGGCACACCCAGGGAGGAGCCACAGCTGAGTCAGATCTGATCCTACCCTCAGCCCGGCCAGGGTTTGAGGTCCATGACTCCTTTATGTGCCTTCAACAGATAAAGTATTCTAGCCCTGGCTTTTATTGTATGTAAGCTCTGTGTTCCCTTCACATGCCTGTGTACTCACTTTTTCTCATGCCAGGGAGACTAAACCCCTCATGACAGTGGTTCTTTAGGGGTGGTCTCTGGATTAGTAATATCAGCATGCCCTGGGAACCTGTTAGAAATGCAGGTGCCAGCCTGGGCAACATAGTGAGACCCTGTCTCTACAAAAATTTAAAAATGCAAGATGGCACACGCCTCTAGTCCCAGCAACTTGGGAGGCTGAGGCAGGAGAATCACTTGAACCCGAGAGGCTGAGGTTGCAGTGAGGTTCCAGTGAGCCAAGATTGTGTACTGCACTCCAGCCTGGGCAACAGAGTGAGACTGTCTCAAAAAAAAAAAAAAAAAAAAATTAAAAAATTAGCTGGGCAAGGTGGTGTGCACTTGTAGTCCCAACTACTCGGGGCACGGTGAGGCAGGAGGATCAGTTGAGCCCAGGAGTTTGAGGCTGCAGTGAGCTATGATTGCACTGCTGCACTCCAACCTGGCTGACAGCAAGACCCCACCTCTAAAAATAAAAAATCAAAGTTAAAAGAAAAATCCAGGTACAGTGGCTCACACCTGTAATCCCAACCCTCTGGGAGGCTGGCTTGAGGCCAGGAGTTTGAGACCAGCCTGGGCAACATAGTGAGACCCCATCTCTACAAAAATAAAAAAATTTAGCCAGGCATGGTGGCGCACGCCTGCAGTCCCAGCTACTCAGTTGGGGGCTAGGGTAGGAGGATCACTTGAGCCTGGGAGGACAAGACTGCAGTAAACCATGCTTGCACCACTGCACTCCAGCCTGGGTGACAGAGCAAGGTCCTGCCTCAAAAAAGTTTTTTTTTCATTTGATTTTAAAAAAGAAAGAAATACAAATGATCAGAACCCCCACTCCTCCAGAACTGGTAGGTCCCAACAGTCTGTGTTTTAACAAGCCCTCCAGGTGGCTCTGATGCACATTTGAGTTTGAGATCCACTGACTTGTGAAGTCCAAGTGGCAGAGGCCTTGCAGCCAAGCATTTTACACTGGGGAAGCCAAAGACAGGCTGTAGTTCTGGGCTTATTTTTGTAACTGGCCAGATCATCAGCAGCAGAGATGCCTTCTATGCAGACGTGTGCTAGATATTTCTAGGAGAGGAAGATGGGGATGAGGGTCAGCATGGAGACCTGCTGTAGGCTTCCTGATAATTGCTGTGAACTTAGAACATGTTTAAAACGCTCTGGTGTCTGGAGTGCCATCTGGTCTACCTCCAAAGCCTGACTTCCTTTCCTCCACTAGATGGCAGCAGCAGGCTGCATTGTTTGTGCTGCATCCAGCCTGCCAGGTTTTTCCCACCAGGAGAAAAATGTCAGCTAAAATTGCCGCCCTGATTCTCCTCGCGCCTTCCACTCCCAATTTAGTCATTGCCTGCTTTCTCCTCTGTCCTCTGAGGACTAAGGAGGGACTATGTCAGGAAGTTGTTTGGGAATTTGAAATTGCAGGCACAAGAGGAAAATCAAGGAAACTGAGGAATCTGGTTCCACTTGAGGTCTAACCAAGAGAACAGGGTACACAGAAGGTAGATTATTGTGAGGGTAAAATGAGGTAACGGAGACAAAACACATCAGTGCCTGGCATTCAATGCACCTTAGTTGTCATGACAAGTTTTTGCTATTATATTATTTGCCATAGATTATCCAGCAAAATAACTACACACTCCCACAAGTCCAACTGAGAGACCCATCTGCAGAGAGGAAACCAAGCACAGCAATTCATTTGTGGCAAAAGGCTAAAGTTCCTTGGATCCCCAAGTGTGGGTCGTTTTCATCAGGAGGGACTCAGCTTCAAGGGAAGATGAGACTTCCTGACCTAGACCTGGCCTCCTAGCCCGAGGCTGGGTGAAATGTGCACTCCCTCCCTGCTGGGGCTGCCACATGTGCAACTTGGCAGGAGCAAAGCCAAGGTGGAAAATCAGAGAGCAGTGTCAGAGTCAATCTGTGATCCCGAGGCGGGAGGTGGAAGCATTCAGGGTAAGAACTGCACAGGACTGGAGATTCTCTCTACTATAGGACAGATTAGTGGAGATTTAACTAAAAATAGGAGCTGCAGACCAGGAATGGAAAATAGAGGCAAGAGACAAAACTGGGAGGGAGGCTGTCATAGAACTTTCCAGTTAACTCTGCCAACCAGCATAGCTTCTTAAAGGTACCAGCAGTGCCTATCACCCATTTCCCTAGCTCTTTTCATTTCCAGGTTGGTTCCTGTTTCCCCTAGGTTAGGCCAGTTATGCTGAGCCTTCAAATGGCAACTTGTGAGGTCTTACTATCTTCTCACCCATGTGAGCTCTGAATACAGAGGTCCTCAACTCCCGGTAGTCAAGGACCTAAGTCGGCCAGGCGCGGTAGCTCACTCCTATAATCCCAGCACTTTGGGAGACTGAAGCAGGTGGATTGCTCAGGCTCTGGAGTTTGAGACCAGCCTGGGCAACATGGTGAAACCCTGTCTCTACAAAAAATTTAAAAATTAGCCAGGTGGGTGGTGTGCACCTATATAGTCCCAGCTACTCGGGAGGCTGAGGTGGGAGGATCACCCGATCCCAGGAGGCTGAGGCTGCAGTGAACCATGATCACACCACTGTGCTGCAGCCTGGGTGACAGAGTAAAACCCTGTCTCAAAAAAAAAAAAAGGGACCTAACTCTGCATTCTCCATGGAGCATTCCTTATGCCCTTAACTAGACCCCATTTGAAAGTACGTGCAGTCATGCACATGGCCCAGCCTCAAAACCCTTTCCCTCTCTCTCTGGGGTCTGCCCAGAATGTTGGCCTTAGCTAAGACCCAATAAGCTGTTCCTTCTCTTATTCCAGCTGGCTGCGTGCTGGCAAACCGCCTTTTCTTCTCTCAGCAGTAATTTGTCTCCAGTGGGTGCTTTACCTTATAAGTTATGCACAACTAGATTGAGAATAAAATGTTCCTCTGGGGGTTGTGGAATAGGACAGAATGGTCTCATCTGGTGTCAGGAGGTTGGAATCAATTCCTCTTCAATTCCTATAAGAGAACTGATCCTCTTAGCATTTGCAGAGAGCACCAAGTCAGCACTCTCGCAGGCTGTGTGAAACAGGGACTATGTGTGATGGCTAAGTACCTCGTGAGTGCTCAGGCCATGACCATCACCCCAGCTATGGGGGCAAGAGAACCACAGGATGGTTCTTGATGATCCACTAGAACAGGGTTCTCAACGCTGGCTGCACATAAGAATCATCTGTGAGCTTTTCCAAATGGCAGTGCCCAGACCCCACCTAGAACAAATGGAATCAGAATCTCTGGATGGGGCCTGAGGGGTCAGTATTTTTAAGTGTTCCGTAGGTGAATCTAAGGTGCAGTCAGGGTTGAGAACCATTGCACTAGCCTGGTCTCCTCTCTTCCAGGGGAACACTCAGGCTCAGGAAAGCAAGGTGACCTCCCGGAAGCCACAGGGAGTCTGTGGCCGAGCTGGCGCAGACCAGGGCTCCCAACACCTGTTGGGCTTCTGGGCAGTGCTAGGGCTCCTCTCTGCTCTTCCCTCCTCTGCCTTCTGTGGGAGCAGTGGTTGGTTATTTCCTCCTAATATGTCTTGGTGTCATTCCTGATGGGGTTGGTGAAAACGAGTGGGGCTGTGTGACAGAATTGGGGTGGGGCTGCCTTTTCTGCTACTTTACTGCCACCCTGACATCTTAGGGCTTCTCACCGGGATTGGGCCCTCCAGCCCTAGTCCTGCCTTGCCACAGTCCCCTCTCACTTTCACAGCAGCAGGTGGTGGAGGGCAGCACCTCCCAAGAGGCAAGCCTTTGTAGCAGTGGTTTCCAACTCTGGATGCACCTTGGAAACCACCTGGAGGAGGTTTCTAAAGATACTGGTGCCTCATACCCACCCCAGAACAATTAATCCAGCTGCCAAGGACCTGGGCATCAGTGTATTTTTAAGCTGCTTCATGAAAAAAAAGAAAAAAATTAGCTGGGCATAGTGGCGTGCACCTGTAGTCCCACCTACTCAGGAGGCTGAGATGGGAGGATTGCTTGAGGCTGAGGGTTCAAGGCTATAGTGAACTGTGTTCACGCCACTGCACTCCAGCCTGGGCAAAAGAGCGAGACCCTATCTCGGGGAAAAAAAAAATGAAGAACAAACTTAGTGATTCTGATGTTCCCTTAGGGTTGAGAACCACTGCTTTGTGGACTCGGCATGCCCAGGGTGTCAAGCTTAGGAGATACTTAAAGATGTATTAGAAGGGTTGAGGGTTAATATCCAGATTATATAAAGAACTTCTGCAACTCAACAACAACAACAACAAAAACAAAAAACTACATTTAAAAATGGGCAAAAGACTTAAACAGAAATTTCTCCCAGGAAGATATACCAGTGATGAATAAGTACATGAAAAGATATTCAACATCACTAATTATTGCCAGAAAAATAAAAAAAC